GTGCGCGCGTGTGTGTGTGTGTGTCTCTGTGTGTTTGCGTGTGTGTGTGTTTGTGTGTTTGTTTGTCACCACTGCACTGAACCAAACTCGTCCCTCCAACCCAACCTGGAAACAAAGCTGACATCGTTCAAACCTGCACTTCCTCCAGCGACCAGCAGAGGCTGCAGCAGCGACTCAGCCCCCCTCCACTCCCACTAACATGAGTTTGTTACACAAACAGCTGATTTCCTGCTTCAGTGAACAAACATGATTCAGCAAATTTCTCACTTTTATTGAGTTTTGCACTTTAAAATCGTCACGTTTAGAGTTCTTTGTTTGAAAATAAAATAATTACAAACTCCTCGAACAATAAAATGTCTTTGATTTCGCTTTAGTCTGACCATCACACTGCTCATCTGGGCCGTGACCTTTGACCTATCCGCTCTCAGACACTGAGTATGGAAACAGCGCTAACAGAGCGACCTAGAAGTCTTAACTAACACGTTAAACCAACATGGCGTCCTCACATAAAGGATAAAACATGTCGGCGTCTCGGGGTGAAGCTCCAGCAGCTGCTGCAGCCACAGGTTTGAGTCCTGTGACTGTTTGTGATGACAGCGACAGTCAAGCCATCAAAGAGAGAACGAGGGTGGAGCAGGATGGGTGGAGCATCCCGGGGTTTGATATAAACGCTCCTGCAGCCGCCCGAGGCCGGTCCTGCATTATTTAATAGTGCAACTCTATTAGTCGTCTTGGTCTAAATGCTGGAGGACAGAGGAACGACGAGGAGGCATGAGGTAATCTGTGAGGGCGTACCATCTGTTATTTTATTATGATGAGACAGAGAGGAAGGAAAGGAGGAGGTGGGGAAGGACAGGAGCTTTTCTTTTTATGTAAGGAATTCATGAGCTATAAAAGGATGAAGAAACAGAGATGGAGGAATCAAGAGTGCATGGAAGGAAACCACAAGGACAGATGGAAAGGAGGAGGTAAACAAAGAAAGAAGGAAGCAAAAATGATGCATGAATGAAAGGAATGTGACATACATGAAGGAGGTATAGAAGGACACTGCAGGGAAAAGAAGGTTTGGAAGGATATAAGGACAAACGCAAGGAAAGGACAAAAGGAAGGAGGTATAGAACAAAATGAGGAGAAAGTGTTGAAGGAATTCAACTATGAAAAAAACTAGGAAAGGTATCGCCGAAGGAAACAAGGAAGCAATGAAAGAAGGTGGAAAAGAGGGGGGAAAGGGACACATGTCTGAAAGGACCCAAGGGAGCATAGGAGGAAATAACAACAGAATCAGGAAAGTGTGCAAGGGAAGGGAATATGGAAGCAATATGAAGGAAATGAGCACACAGGAATGTATTTAAGGGCATAAGGAAGTATGAATAATCCCAAAAAGATATTTAATGAAGTAAAGAAAACATAGAGGGAAGGAAAGAAGGACACATGAATGAAAGTAGAGCAAGGTCTAAAAGAAAACAAGGACAAACACAAGGAAAGGACAGGAAAGAAACATAGAAGGAAGCAACTAATTTGACCTGGAAGGTTGGGATAGAAGGACACAAGGCAATGAAGCAAGAAGACTCCAGGGAAGGAAGGAAGAAGGACAGGAAACACAGAAGTGGACAAGGAAGTATGAAAAGGAAGAAGTATATAGGGAGTGAAAGAAGGAAACATAAAAGGAAATAAGGACAAAAAGTTTTTAAGGACAGAAGGAGGTGTGAAAGGAAATAAAGGCGCATGAATGAAAACAGAATCCGAGCAAGGAAACAAGGAAAGAAGGACGAAGAGAAGGAAAGTAGAAAAACAAAACAAGGATGTATAAAAGTAAAGAAGGGGATGTGGAAGGAAACAAGGAGACACAAAAGAAAACAGCAACAGAAAAGAAGGAGGAGAGAGACCGAGGTCTGAGGAGAAGGAAGGATGAAACACCGAGGGGTCAAATGAGAGGCGGTCTGAAGAGGAGGTCTGAAGTGGGGAGGTCGGAGACGAGAAGGAGGTGTGAGGGGAGGAGGTGTGAGGGGAGGAGGTGAATGATTGAAGAGCTTGTGTCAGAGTTTCCACTCGCTGTGAATTCTGGTCACAGACTCAGGCTGAGGTTCACTGAGGCGAGGACGAGAGGACGCAGAGCTGCTGCTGGTTTCCCCTCTGACCTTCACTCCTCCTCCGACCTGCAGCGTTCATTAACCCCACAGACACAAATGATTCTCTCCTGTAAATATTTCACATTTTAGTGTCAAACACAGGCAGCTGTATGGAGGACCAACAGTGACCAATGAAACACGAGTTCTTATGTGAATGTTAATTAATGTTTAAGGAGCTTGCAAAGAAAAGCGTCTGGGCTTCTTTAAGTTGCTTGAAGACGTTTCACCTCTCATCCGAGAAGCTTCTTCAGTTCTAAGGTCAAGTGGTGGAGAGTCCCAGAGTCCCACAATGAACTCACCCGAAACTCTGGCTGATTGGGACCCACACCCAGTTTCACACCTTGGTTTCCATAATTCCATGATGTATTTAATAATAACAATAAACCAATAAAAAAAATAATAATATAACATTTTACATTTTGGATTTTTTTTATTTAAACAGATATTCAAGAATTTATAAATTAATAATGTTTTTAATACATCATTATTTTAATAATACCGATTAATAGTTGAAGTTTTTATATTATTGTGGTCTAATAATTAAAAAAAAATGCCTTTGCCAAGATTTGACTTTTTCAGGCATTTATTACATACATTTAATATTTTATCATGACATACATTTATAAACATTACATATAAATAAATAAAACATTTCTTAAATAATTAATTTATAAAGTATATTACATAAATAATTTGAGTAAATAATAAACTTTTTACTTACATAATAAACTTTCTAACTCATTATTAATATTTAAATATTTCGTACATATTTTGTTGTTTTGTATGTAATTAATAATATATAAATATTATTTATAATATAATGTAATATAATGTGTTTTGGGTCACATTTGTCGTAACCAAGGTTACGCTCTTCTCTGGTCCCAGCATGTGATTTAAGGTCTGTTCAGGGTTTTGGATCCAGATCTGCGTCATTAGCTTTAATGCTCCATGTGAAACTTTTACATTTCCAGTCACTGTTTCTTTAAATCTAAAATAAGTAACGAGGTGTTGTGAATATATTTGTGTATAAACTGTGAAATAGAAAATAAATAAGCAGCTTTTAAAAGACTTTATTGTTATTTTTGGACTCTGGCAGAGGAGCTTTGAATGTTGTAGCCCATCAGTTTAGCCGCTCTGAAACAAGCTGCTCTGATTGGCCGATTCCAGGAAGCGTGCAGAGGGGCAGACGAGGCATGCATGCACTCACTTCAGGACCTCTGATGATGACGTGAATATTTGGGGCTCAGTGAAAGAAATGACCCATTTTTTAAACTGGATCCTATAAAGCCTGATTCCTTCAGAGTGACCACTTTTTGTTTCAGGTGATGATCGCACGCAGAGGTCAAAGACGTGGAACGCGTCAGCTGAGAGTTTAACTACAAAACCACCAACAACAAGAAGCAGAAAGAAGCAGCTGGGACATCGAATATCAGATTTTCTCATTGAAGAAGGAAAATGTTGCATCTTCATGCACTGTGTGGATGAAGGTGCATAGCTGATAACAGACATGTATTATGTGTTTGCTGTGCTGGGTGTGAGCACGCTGTCCTCTTTGGTGCCGCAGAACAAATGAAGCTGACGAGAAGACAGAAAACGCCTGCAGAGCTAAACTGTCCTTTGGATTCGTCTGAACGCAGAAAGTTGCTGATTAACTCGCCGTCGGTCGACTGGAAACACAGACGACACAGAAAAGCGTCTCACACTCACAAAGAACGAACTCGCAGAGCCCCGACAACTTTCCCACCAACGTCCATTCAAAAAAGGTCCCATTTTAACTTCGTTAACGTTCAGCTTCCCTCGCCTGATCTAAACAACATTCACAATCCCTCCACGTGAATGTAACAATTTGACTTCACAGCTGATGATGTCAGTGTGATGTCATTCCTTGCAGCTCGAGCTGGAGATGAACTCAAAAACCCGGAGAAAGTGTGCCGGACAGAGCTGCTGAGACCATTCAGCCATTCATCAAAGGGCGAGCACTCTTACCATCCGAAGCCTCCGAACGACACGCTCCTCTTCCTCCTCAGCATGGTGCCTCGCTCGCCCTCTTCCTCTTTGTCTCTCTTTTCTTCTTATTGTGTCTGGGTTTTCCTCCCTCTCTCTCTCTCCCTCTTTGTACCTCTGCCTCCCTCTCCCTCCGCTGTCGCTCTAACTCCTCATCTCTCCTCCTATAAATACTCTCCTCTCTGTCAGACACTCCCGCCGCCTCCCTCTCCTTTTTCCTCCTCCTGTCGGTAACGCTGCTCTCTCGTCTTCCTCTCCCACTTCACTTCACAGCACAGAGCCAGCAGAGAGAGAGAGTGAGGGTAGAGAGACATAGAGGGATAGCAGGAGGAGGTTTACAGGGAGTACCCGCTCTCTGCCAGCCTGATGGAGAGGAGCTGAAAACTTATCATCCATAATAAATGGACATAAATGGATGGAAGCACGTGTCGGTTTACGGGACCTGCTATTATGCAACACGGCTGCAGCTGAC